CGGCCACCTTCGGCGCAGATGAGTCGTGACGTCATAACCGGCCACCTTTGGCGCAGATGAGTCGTGACGTCACAACCGGACACCTTCGGCGCAGATGAGTCGTGACATCATAACCGGCCACCTTTGGCGCAGATGAGTCGTGACGTCATAACCGGGCACCTTCGGCGCAGATGAGTCGTGACGTCACAACCGGCTACCTTCGGCGTGATGAATCAATGATGTATCAAAAGTATTTTAGTAAAGAACAAGTCGATTTTTCTTAAGAATTGGCATGAAAAAGGTATTAATTATCTTTGTGATATACTAGATCCTCAAGGGAATGTTTACTCTTATGGTGATTTCATGTTTAAATACAATTTCCCTGTGGTTCACAAGGAATTTCTTACAGTTGTTAAAGCTATACCTAATGGTCTTGTTCACTTAATGAAATGTCATCTATCATTTGAAGAGATTGTAAAAAGGGAACCGAATTTTTTGGTTGATGACAAGTGGATTTATGACCCAAAATGTAATAATACAATTATAAGAACTGTGTTTCAGTCAAGGAAAAGAATAACTCCGAGGGGAATTTTTTTTTTGAATTCTTTAATAGATAAGATTGGAAAAAAGCATGGCTCTTACCTTATAAATTCTGTGTCCCCAACAAAGTAAAAGAATTACATTTAAAGATTGTGCATAATATATACCCCACTAATGAGATTACATCCAAATTTGGTAATCCTCATCTGAATTGTAATTTCTGTAATGTCGGCATTGAGTCTATTGATCATCTTTTTTTCAAATGCCCCCTTGTTAAGGAATTTTGGTCTGACGTGTCAAAATTATTTTCTTCAAAATCTAATGTAGGCATTGATGTTACTATGTGTGATGTGTTTTGTTATTTTTCTCATTGTAAACATTATATAGGAAATGTATTTATTTTATTGGGAAAATATTATATTCATAAATGTAAATTTTCTTCAACATCTCCAAAATTACATAATTTTCTTTGTGACTTTAACTACTTAATTATAATACTAAAAAATATTAATACCAAAAAAAGTGTCAAATTTGTGAAACTGTGTAATGATCTGCTGAATGGTACATCATTCTTGATTTACTACCTCTGTATTTTTTGTTTTATCTATGTATTCTTGTTTATTTTTTATTATTATTTTTTTCCCTCTCTTCTTTGTCTTCCTATATAATTTCTGTATTCATAATGTCATCCAATGTTACATTAATTGTTGAATGTTAAGTGTTTATATTTGCAATAAAAAAAACAAAAAAAACAATGACGTATGAAGCTGTAAAGCTATTTATCAATAGGTTTACTGAGAAAAGTTTATTTTTATTCCCTAAACAGATTAAAACTGATTTTCTTTTCTTTCAGCAATCACATTCTGTAACTGCTTACTATGTGAAATTCTAAAGGTCACGGTGGAAAATTAAATGGTGTAGGCTACTCATCATAGCTCTGACAGGTTTGCAGGGGGCTACAGTAAAGAACACCTGTGTCATGGTGCGTGGGGGGAGATGAAGCGAGGACTCAATTGCAGGAGAAATGGTTATTTATTTTAATAATAAAAATGAAACGAAAACAAACTCAAACCACCCCGAGGGGGAAAAACAGACAGGCAGGCCTAAAGCTGCACCACATGCAGACACGAAACACACACAATGAGAAATGACGGATCAGCACAGGATGACAGACACCAGGAGAATAAATAGGAAACCAAACGAGGAGGCTAACGAGGGAGACACAGGTGGAGCAACTTAAACAATAACGAGGTAACAAGATGGGAGGGGCCAGACAATAGACAGTAGAGAGCACATGGCAACAGACAAACACAACACAAGCCATGTGCTCCCAGAACAAAGTCATCTGGTGGCCCTCCTGGGCACACCCGCTGAAGACTGTGACAGAACCACCACCTTAAGGAGCGGATTCCAGACACTCCACCAAGAGCAATCCCGGAGGGAGGTGGATCAGGGGGAGGGATGGTGGGCCAGGTCCGTGTAGTGGAAGAGGCCCTGGGGATAGAGGTAAACCAGGGTGCCAGGGCGGGGCCGGCAGGGTAGGGGGTCAGGGTGCGGCCGGCAGGGCAGGAGGCCAGGG